AACCGCTTAGAGAGGGCTGAAAGCCCTATGAAGCGGTATATAAGTCTAACTGCTAACTAACTGCTAACATTGGGTTTCTATTTTGGGGGGTATTGTTGACAAGAGGAATGGCTGTGTTTATTGTTTAATGTTATATGGCCCCGGTTATGCACAGTATATATGTGACTGTACGAAATGAAAATGGAAAAATAAAAACACATTTATAGAAAAATAGTCAAAAAAAAGTATTTTAGGGGCTGCCAGAAAGAAGAGGGGGCTCAACTTATTTTCCAAAGCACCAGAAGGCAGGATAATAAGTAATGGATGGAAATTAATCAAGAAAAGAAGCAACCCAGAACTAAGGAGAAATTTCCTGAGAGGGAGAACAATCAACCCATGGAACAGAAGTTGTGGGAGCTTCATCCCTGGAGGCTTTCAAGAAGAGACCGGACTGCCCTCTGTCAGAAATGGTGTAGGGTCACCTGCTTGGGTGGGAGGGTGGACTAGATGACCTACAAGGTCCCTTCCAGCTCTATTCTGATTGATTGATTCAACCTAGAAATAGAAATTTTCTGGCCGTGAGAACAATAGAAGTTGCTTTCAGAAATTGTGGAAGCTTCATCCCTGGAAGCTTTCCAGAAGAGACTGGACTGCCATCTGTCAGAAATGGTGTAGGGTCTCCTGCTTGAGCAGGGGGTTGGATTAGAAGACCTCCAAGGTCCCTTCCAGCTCTATTTGGAATTGAAATTTGCTTCCATTTCCTTCTTTATCCATTCAATCTGTATTTTCAGATCTAATCATCAGATTAAATCCACCTGATTTGAACAGTCAATTTGTTTAGCGGGGAAATGTATGTGACAAAGGCCATCCAGTTGAGGGACCATGCCAGAAGCCACCAACTCAAGGAGATCATTTATACTGCATCAACTTGATTCAGATAGTCAATTCAGTTTGGAAACTCAATAATGCCATCTCCAAATCAAATCCCCGCATACACCTAACTCCAATTTTCTTCCTTTTTTAAAAAGAGATTACGGCACAACCGACCAACCTAATAATCACGATTTGACTCCTTCATCTCAGTATGGAAGAGGGGGGAAAAAACCCCAGTTTATCTTAGGATGGCAGACAAAATGATTGAGAATAAAACTGCTCTCACACTTCACAAAAGAAATATGTTTTATCTTTGGCCATTTGCCCCCAACTGGGAGAAACGGCAATTCTTTGTACATGTACACAGAATTTCTCTCTTTCTTCCACACTCTTATCGTCTTCTGTTTGGCACCTGCATAGCTGAAATCTTTACAGTTACATACAAGAGATCTCCAAAGACCATCTATGCCCCCACCCATCTCTGCCGCTTCCAAACCCAATGGAGCAACCACCTTGTGGAAACTCACATCCTGACCTCCTTTTGTGTGTGTTGTGTGTGATTAGAGGCTCAACAAAACACGCTCGTCTCGTTGACACGGACGCCCAATCCATTTCCCGGTCAATGAGGACCTCCGATTCTCTTCCCTCCCACACTTTCCTTTATTAATTACATTTTACATTTTTAATTCCCCCTCCGTATTTTTGTTTCAATCGTTTTTTTCTTGTTGTTTTTAAACGTCGCTTGATTTTCCTTTTGTCGTTTTTTTTTTGTTCGAGTGTGTCTGTTTACAGCAAAAAAAAAAAAAAGGATTAGTTCTTATAGATGAGTACATAAAATCAGGGTTAGCAGAGCTTGGCAGTCATCTGATCCGATTGTTTAAGGATCTCGGTGTTGTATAGATCCAGCGCGTGGTTTACCCGGATGATCTCGGTGTTGGTCAATTTCAGACGGTGTTTGAGCATACAAGAGAAGAGATCTAGCTGGGGCTTCCCAGGAGCTACCGGCGGTGCCAACCTGTTGATTCGATCCCGTATATCCAACATCAACAACATGACTGAGGAAGAGGAGTAGAACTGCCCACCTTGTGTGTAGGACTGGTTGACTTGCTGCACGGCGCTACGCAACAGATCCGCGTTGAAGCGCAAGCTGTATCCAAACACTTGAATGTCCGAAATTTTGATGTAGAACTGGCGCTTGTTGGGATCGGATAGGTCCACAGGTCCTTGACCTGTCTCGTTGCGCATCAAGGAAGGCAACCGAGTCCGGCTACGCAGGTAGATGTGGACAGTCTCGAAAAACGTTTTCCACCGGTTCCCCAGCAAGAGAGTCCAGTTGTAGCACTGGCTGTTCTGCAGGCGGATTTTCTCCCAACGCGGGTAGCCGTACTCACCAAAGGGCATATTCCAACCTTCGGAGTGGCTCCCGCTAAAAGGGTTCACGTAGACGAAGAACATGGGGTCCAGGCTGCTGTTGCGCATCTGGCAGATGCGCATGGAGATCCCGATGGCCATGTGGATGAAGTCCATCCGGTTCTTGTTGCTCTTCAAGGTGAGGGACATGCGCCTGCGCCACCGGGGGTCGAAGAAGGTGTCCAGGCGGATCTCGTTACTGATGAACGTCGTGTGGACGTACAAGCGGGAATCCATCTTTTGGAGGAGGTACTTCAGCTCCAGGTCCTGGAAGTCCAAATCGGTCTCGAAGCTGATGAACTGCTCGCTGCGCTCGGAGTCCACGTTCTGGGGCTCGCAGCGGCCCCGAGAGAGGCGGTAGCCCTTGTTGCACGAGCCGCAGAGGGAGATGTTGGCCAAGCTGCACATAGCACAGCTGTTGTTGCCGCCGATGATGCACGGGATGGGCCGTTGGCACAGGCTGGTGCTCCCATGGCAGACGCAGCTCCGTTGGCTCTCCAGAAAGGTCCCCCAGAAGCCATTCTCGTTGCAGTAGAGCAAAGATTGGACACGGGAGAGCCACTGCTGTATCGTCCTACAAGTGATAAAAGCATAGGCTATAAGAGAGCATCCTCTTACCACATCTCTAAGTACTTCTGAGGAACCTCAATGGCTGGGTTAGCTCAAGTTTTGTTCCTCCAACTCAACTGCATGCCTTCTAATCAACCTAAAGGATGGCTTTCGACCAAATCACCTCACCCTTACGAACCTGACCAGTTTCTCACATCCACACCCATAAACCCGACATGCTTTTTGGTCTTTTAGATCTAGTCTGAATTTGGCACCAGCCTCTCTCCCCTTTCCATTTCTCAGTTTCTCATCTGTTAGCAACTGCTATCAGTAAGGTAAAAAGGTTCTCATCGCACATAAGTGCTAGTCGTTCCTGACTCTAAGGGGCAGTGCTCATCTCCATTTCAAAACCGAAGAGCCAGCGCTGTCCGAAGATGTCTCTGTGGTCCTGCGGATGGCATGACTCAACACCGAAGGCGCACGGAACGCTGTTAGCTTCCCACCAAAGGTGGTTCCTATTTTTCTACTTGCATTTTTATGTGCTTTTGAACTGCTAGGTTGGCAGAAGCTGGGACAAGTCATGGGAGCTCACTCCGTTACACAGCGCTAGGGATTCGAACCGCCAAACTGCTGACCTTTCTAGTCAATAAGCTCAGCGTCTGAGCCATTGCGCCTGGTACATCCCTGGGGGGGAAATGTGGTTTGTTTTTTTTACATATGCAGGGCAACCCCTTCCAACCCTGGCTTCTTACAGTCAGCCGCTGTGCCCAGGGCCTTTATAAATCATGCAACCCTTCCCATTCAGAAATTATAAAACCAGGTCAGCAACGAATCCTCAGCTCCGCTCCTTCCCTTTTTCATCCAAGTCACCTCTGGCGTTGTTTTTAATTAATGCATTGACTGGGCTTGTTTTGCAAACAAAACTCTAGATGTGCCAGGCAAAGAGAAAAAAAAAACCCAGAAGCAAACAAGAGTGAAAAGAGCTTCTTTTTCTAAACGCATGCCTTTTCGAACCAATAGGCAAAAGTAAAGGTTCCCCTCGCACATAGATGCTAGTCGTTCCTGACTCTAGGGGGCGCTGCTCATCTCCGTTTCAAAGCCGAAGAGCCAGCGCTGTCTGAAGACGTCTCCGTGGTCATGTGGCCGTCATGACTCAATGCCAAAGGCGCATGGAACGCTGTTCCCTTCCCACCAAAGGTGACTCCTATTTTTCTACTTGCATTTTTTACNGATAACTGATTCAGCTGGATTCATTAACTTCTTTATATACATAAGAATAAATGAATAAATGTACAATACCAACAGGTGATTCTTCCAAGTAAACACAAGGCAGGAGAGTTACAGGCAAACACAAGCAATTAGCTTCATTTCAGCAGACAAGCCCAGAGAGGCAGTTAGTTTACTTCTCAGAGCAGCAGATGGCTTAAGTTTCTGTTTCAATTCTCTGCACAGAGTCAGATCTGTTTAAGCTCCCATTGGCTGACTTAGTTGCTTTGCCTATTCGTTGGCTGACCTTGTTCCCTGGCTGACCATTTAGTCCCCATTGGCTGATCTATTCCAGTCCATGAATATTCATACTCTGACAGAATGGCTCCAGGTTTTCCCCACCCAAATGGAAGTCCAAACCCACATGTCAATCACATGGCTCAATCAGGCACCATCCCAACTGGAGATGCCTCCCAGTCACGCCACTCCAGATGCAGGGCAAGATGTCCTTGACTCTCTGAGAAACGAATGTTATTTTGACTATATATCTCCCATCCCCCCTCCCATTTTCCCACAGCAGTAAATGTGGCAAAACCCACCATCCTGGGCCCAACATTTGGGAAGCTCTGCCTGTCACAAGCCAGGACAAAGGGTGAGTGATGGAGGAGTAACACCTCCTCAAAAAACCTTGGTCCAACTGGCCGGGCTGGGAGCACCTCGTAAGGGCCCCTTCCCAGGGTTACGGGAGAAGACGGTCAATGGGTTTGAAGGCGGAAGAGGGCTCTACGTCCCAACGGAAGATCCAGCGGCAGAACCATCTTCTAGGAGAAGGGAAACTCCGATTACAAACCTCCACTGCCTTGTGGCTACATCCATTACTGGAAAAGGCTTCTGGAGTCAACCTCCAGGCAAAATCCGGAGCCAGAGTCCCGGAAACAGTTCATGACTGTGTACAACCAGGTTCTGGTAACTCCTGCGATGCAGCTGAATGGCTCTCACGTTCCATTGGACTATTTCAGCCATGTGGAGATGGGAGGATCTGCTGCTTGGGTCACAGTCTATCCTCCATATTAATCTACCCAGGCCTGGTGCTCTGGAGAGGACACTCCAGCCTTGATCTCTTCCCAGAGCATGATACCATCATCTTTGGAGACTGAAGGATGCCAATGCCAAATGTGGCCCAATGAAAAAGATGGCTTCCAGGCCTGACAAACGGATTGTTTTAATGTCAGGGTTACCTGTAATGTCTAACTTTTCCGTGGATTGCTTTGCTTTTGAAACAAGTTGGAGGTTTGCGCTATCATGTTATTTCGATTGTTTCTGATATATTGATTTAATAACAGGCTCAGGAACCCCAGGAAAGCATTAGAGGCAAGACACAAGCAAACAAACAAAAATGAAAAAAAAAAAAAAAGGATTTCTCATGCACAGATGTGAGGATTTAGCATCCCACAGGGAGCTTGTGACTAAACATGTCTGGAGGAAAGTTTGCATCGAGAACATTAAATAGGAAAGACAAAGAATCTCATGTGCCATGCTAAATTTCACT